CGCTGGCCAAGTGCGAGTTGGCGGACTTCACATGTCTTTCGAAAAGTTGCTAAGTTCTCTCAGACATGCAGGTTTCCTCACGATGTTTTCCTTCACCGTAAGACAAGTGGTAATCATGTTGGAAATGATTCGCACATGAAAATATCAGAGGTGCGAGACCCGGGATTTGAACCTGCTTCACTCGGTTTTCCAAGCGATCGCGTTACCACTGGGCTACCACTGCCTTATTTTATTTTATTATATTACATGAGCGAAATATAAAGATATTTCGAGCATATTTCGTTCTAATACATGGCAGTTCAAAACTATCGTGGTTGCGCTTACTAAATTTTGGAACCTTAAAATTCAAACAGCTTAATAAGAAAGGGCTATCAATGAAATTATTTAAGAGTTTGAAAAAAAAAATTTGATATCTAAGCGTGCGACGCATCTCTAAAGGTCTACTCGTAATATTAGGTCTAATATTTTATTTTCATATAAAAAAAGCAAAATTCATTAGTTTTCAGATTTTTATTTCTGCTTCGATCGCGCGTAATTTAAAAAAAACTTTGTTTTTTTTTTATAAATGTTATCATGAGGAATTAGTCTGAATTAAAAATAAAACTACGTTACATTTGACTCTGTAGAGTCGATCCACAGATACAATTATATATTAGTTACATATAGTATATCTTGTACTAGCATTGCCCGCGGCTCCGCCCGTGTTCAGATGACCAAAAACCGAATTCTTAGGTTTTACATATTAGTATACTCTTAGGTTGCAGTTTTTGTATTTTTTCTCAGAAATGAGATATTTTCCCGCGGTAACCCCGGATGACTAGCTATCACCGTACCAAATTTCATCAAAATCCCTGGTTTTTCTATGATGCGGTAACAGACAGACAAACAGACAGACGGACAAAAATTCTAAAAACTATAGTTTCGGCCTCTGTATCACTAATAATGTCTATTTCAATAAGATTTTCCAAAAAATATTTAACATACAGATTCGGCTTAGTTACACTTTCACGCATATAAAACTTAATTCTTACCAAAGTCCATACTTTAAAATAATAAAATGTGGTGTTAAAAAGTATAACGTTATTTCATCTGGAATTGTGGAATGGGCTGCTCATTTGCACTTTAAATTTGTAAAAGTTTAAACAACTTGCAATGATAATATTAAAAACTTAGGGTATTACCGGTAAGAGCGCTCCAGTATAACTAAGAAAATTAACAGTTTAACTAACGTACTACTCAAGTTTAAGTGGATAGTACATCTGAAGGTGTATCATATAAGTTATTTAGATGATCTTCTGCTGCTCGGACTAACTAACATTTGCCCCTTTGTGGTGCAATATATTATGTATGCCTTGGGAATTGAGATATTTGCTTCATATTCATAAGTTACTTGTTCGTTACAATAGCCTAGAAAATATCGGTCTGATGGTGATTTTGAAACGATGGTGAAACTTATTTATAGTCTGTACCAAATAGCTGGCATAATGTTAGTTAAATATAGTAGACAGTAAAGGAATACCTTTAAAGGAGAATTTTATCGTTTAAAGCCGCATGAACAAACAAAACTAAAGCCTCATTCGCATTCAATAATAAAAAATAAACATGAATGAGGTAAACGGGGAAAAACATCCCAAAGCAGGCGATTACGTGGAAATTGTGCTGAATAATTAAACAGGCGACTCAGCCCCGGCCCCGATGACTGGATTATTGAGTTCTAACAATTAAAAGTTCCTCGATTCAATTAACAATTAAGGGTTAACGACGCAGCTGTGATTGGACTTTAATATTAATTAATCTCAACTTACGCAAATATGAATCTACCACTAAACTCGAAGAGCCGAGTTGAACTTGCTTAGCGATTGAATTTCAAGAATTTGTTAGAATTGTTTATGGGAAGTTAATACAGACCATTAAAACTTCATTTACTTATAGGTAGGTACGAGTATAATACACAAACGAAAATAATCATTGAAATCTTACTTATAATGTACATATTATAATCACGTTTATTCTGGCACTGAATTACGTCTCTTAAGCTAGACCATGTGCATTTATTATAAAACTAGCGTTTTCCTGGGGCATATATCATATACTAAAACCTTCTCCGAAACACGCTGCATCTTATGGTATGAGTATTATTCCGACCGGTTTAGTAGTTATCGCAGTATAACCGAACAAAAAAATCGGCTCCCCATTTATTAGTATAGATGGATTCATTGAATATTAATTGGTATTCTATTCACGTGAAACATTTAAAATATTAATACTATTCAATACTCACGGCTCCGCTCGCGTGGTAGGTAAGTCGATAAAAAAGGGTAATAAGCCTGATTGCGGGATATAAGCTATTGCTATACCGAATTTCTTTCAAATTCATTTAGTTGTACTTGAAGAAATAAACATACTCACAATCACACATTTTCGTATTTATAATATTAGTGAATATGGTAAATATATTCTGAACTCTCATCTACTCTCAATTTTTAATTTAACCTTATTTTGGCAATGCAATATGGTATCATTTATTATTAACTCTATGTTGGATAATAGATTTTCGCGAATATTTGACATCTATACTAATATTATAAAGAGGTAAAGTATGTGAGTTTGTGACTTTGTAGGTGGTGATCTACAGAACCGATTTAGATGAAATTTGGTAAGAAGATAGTTTGAAGCCCTGGGAAGGACATAGCAAATTTTTATCCCGGAAATCATCCCTTAAAGAGGTGAAAATGGGAATGAAAGTTTGTATGGGGAATCAAATTGGAGACAAACCCGAGCAAAGCGAGGGTGAGTCGCTAGTTTTAAATAAAACTATATTTTCGGATTTTTTTGCGGATTTATTTTTGTTGGTTGGTGGTTTGGTTTTTTGGGAACCAAAAATCAAAATAATTCCGCCAAAAAATCCAGAAAGATAGTTTTATCTATGTTGGATGTCGTGATTAGCCTATCAAATTTTAGGGACTAATGTCCCTATTGATATCTGATCTTTAATCGCACTGAATGAGTAGACTATTAGGAATTACTAGGTTAAAACCAGTAATTTCCAGGACATTATACATCTATCTATTGCTTGTATATCTTTCTTATGATGTCGATAAAATATTGAATGTATTTAGGTGAGCGTTGGTAAAGTTAAATGTTATGCTTTGTTTAAACTATAGGTTTTAGAGAGCTGTTCATATCCAAATATTTGTAGAAAAGAGTGGTGCTGTAATTGCTACGTTGTCTTTATATCCAAATATATTTATTTATTATAATTTTTATACTTACAAACAGCTAACTTCACAAATACTGCTTGAATGAAACTATGATTAACTGTAAAACTGGAGACTTGCATATGAGGATCGTTCTAATACTCTAACTAAAGTCATGTAAATATATACAAATATATGGGGCATTTCACGTGAAGCGGACAACGAAAATAAAGTGAGGTTGTGAAAATTGTTCATACTCTGGTCAGTTATAGATATTCAAAGCTTTAATTCAAAGTTAAAATATTGAAAATAAATTATGTCGACGTTACTCAAACATCCATTTGAAATCTTCACTTCCGGTTTACTATACGTAAAAAGAAACAAATTTGTAATTCGATAAAAAAATTAAAAACTGCATCCTTTTATCTTTTACCTTTTATTTTTTATCTTTTTACACATACACACACTTTATACATACGAGTACGACTCATGTAATGTGCTCGTTTATGCATATTAAAAAGATTTGACAAAACTAGAGGATGATTTGAAAAAAATCACAATGATACCAAAATTAAAATACTCCTTCATCTAGCTTCTTTTGAGTATGTACTATATATTTCTATTTAGCCTTCAAGAAGTCATCGTGTTTGTTCTATCACGGAAAGTAAATGCGCAAAATAAAGCTCTGTTTTTTAGTCTGTGCATTTTATACTACCTGTACGTAATACAAAACACATTGAGATAAAAGAAGCTATTATTAAATTAAACGCACATGGAAATTGCGCGTTTGGTTTCTACTTGGTAAATTACGAAATATACTTCAACACGTTTTTAAATAAACATTCAATATGGAATTTTGAACTTCATTATTATTTTATTATATACCAGCAATGCCCGCGGCTCCGCCCGCGTTTAGATGACCAAAAACCAAATTCTTAGGTTTTACATATTAGTATCCTCTTACAATGCAGTTTTTGTATTTTTTCTCAGAAATATTTTCCCGCGGTAAAAAGTATCCTATATGTTGACCCGGATAACCAACTATCATCATACCAAATTCCATCAAAATCCCTCCAGTGGTTTTTCTGTGATGCGGTAACAGACAGACAGACAGACCGACAGACAGACAAAAATTCTTAAAACTTTAGATTCGGCCACTGTATCGATAATAATGTCTATTTCAATAAGATTTTCCAAAAAATATTTAATGTACAGATTTGGCTTAGTTACAATTTTATTATATGTATAGATTTTATTAATATAGGTCCTAGGAGTTTTAACGTATATTAAAAGTATATAAGTTATATTTTTAATTTTTAATTTATATGTATAGTTATATTATGCATGTGTATATTATATATAAATTTATTATGATACCAGCAGGTTGGAGGTTGAACGTGGGCGTTAATTGTTAATGACAAAGATAATCGTATGCTGACTCGTGCGGTGTTATGAGACATTATAAATGAGCTGTTAGAAGACTTAGAATTGGCAGGTTTTGCTACTTTGTCTGTGAATATATGGAATATCCGGGTTTGAGTCCGATTGGGACAAATAAGTAGTATTGAATCATATAAGTGTCATCATATCCACTGCTCTTCTTTTAAGTGATTACTTTTATTTTAAAATATTACGCGTTGTTTCTTATATTTATGTCGAATAAAACGATAAGAGATTCAACAGATCATTTTCCATATATTCAGGTATATCTAAAATTATACTTTTAAATAATTTTTCTATTACATAATATACCTATAGCTTTTATCAACTTAAGATTTCTTAAATATATTATATTAAGTTTACCTGTAGTATAATAAGGAGACTAGGGCATGTAGAAGTAGGTTGACGAGGTGGTAACCCGCCGGCTGTAGGCCGTGCATTGCATAGTTCCATCGGAACGTTAGCACGGTCAGCGGACGATACGATTTATGTGATTGTTCCTGTAACAAAATAATATGTTAATAATCGAATTAAAAAACTAATATCTGTCTATAAAACTAATGTAGCTTAATTTTTCTAATCTATTACAAGGAAATAGTATATAGTTACTAGATTTAGGACACTTGTATGCTAATGAAAATTAAAATTTAAATCATTACTAAAAATACTAGCGAATTTTATATATATCCCTTACTTGAGAAATGATTGATTCCCCATACAAACTTCCACCCCCTTAAGGGATGATCACTGGGATAAAAACTGTCCTATATCCTTCCCAGAGTCTCAAACTATGTATCTCCATATCAAATTTCATCTTAATCGGTTCAGCGGGTTGAGCGTGAAAAAGTAACAAACAGACAGAGTTATTTTCGCATATTTTATGATATTAGTATGAATTTTATTGAATTAAATAATTCGATACATCATGTCATATATCAAACGAATTATGTTACGAAGCATGTAAACATATGTATAATTGTGTACTTTCAAAACGCTTGGTTTAAAGGATTTTGGATAAAATATACCGTACTTGACCAATTTCACCTTTAAACGTAAAGTTACGTTTTATAAAAAGTGTTTAGCAGGTTTCATCTTTGAAGAGAAGCCTTAGAATTATAAAGAGACACGCCCTTTATACCATTTCCTTTACAGTCGAAACTAAGCATGAAAATGATTAGAACAGCCATTCTCTGTATAAAAAAAATGCCTTTATTGACGTATATGTATTTATATATGCGTAGATATCTTTATTTATCAGAAGGTCTCCTGTTCGATTCCCATGTCTGTTTTTAACCCCCGACGCAAAAAGAGTGGTGTTATAAGTTTGACGTCAATGTCTGTCTGTCTGTGTGTGAACCACATAAGTGTTATGATATTTATTTATTCTAACCTTTACATATTTAATAACTTTGTAATACGTATTAAAATATTATTAATCCCTCCGCGACCGCGGACACGCCGGCGTGTCAGTTAACAATAGATTTCTTAGAATTTTAATTAATTTCTTAGACTTGGAGGTGTTAATTCAAGGCCAAAATAAAATTAAACTAGTTTGACAAAATATTTCAACTGCTATTTAAAAAGTATATCCGAACCAGCAACGTTTATCTTAAGTGCTACGAATGCTCTACGAATAATCGTAGCAATTTCGCGTAGTAAAATAAATGTCTTACTTTACGTAAACTACTCGTGTAAGGATAAGGTTGTAAAAACATTTCACTGTGCCATTTATAGGTATGCAAAGTCCTGAATAAATCAAGTTTATGGGGGAACTTAAACGTATAAAAATGTGTTAGCCATAAACGTAAAACGTAGGCAAAACAAAATTAGCAAGTGTTATGACAGTGCTTCTTCAAATGAAATTCATGTCAGGTGGCAGCGCTAACCGTCACCATTACTCATGTCTACAATATGCTAGTGCTAATAAATATTAGTAGCGCAACCCCGAATCGTATTTTAGGCTGAACACTTAAGCAAATATTGCTGTAATAACGCTTTTCCACGTCAAAATAAATGGCTGGCAATCGCTCTTTATTATGTGTGTAAAGTGTGTGACTGTTATTTGTTACCTTATATAAATACGATTAAAAAAATGCCTTTATTGACGTATATGTATTTATATATGCGTAGATATCTTTACTTATGAGAAGGTCTCGTGTTCGATTCCCATGTCTGTTTTTAACCCCCGACGCAAAAAGAGTGGTGTTATAAGTTTGACGTCAATGTCTGTCTGTCTGTGTGTGTGTCTGCTGTGGCATCGTAGCTCTCAGATGGATGGACCGATTTCAATGCGGTTTTTTTCATTTGAAATCCATTTTCCTTGCGGTAGTTCTTAGCTATGTTTGTTTAATTTTGGTCTAGCAGTATAAGAGTATCAGCTATTTCCCAAAATGATGTAAGGCATTTTGGTGTATACTCGATTAAGTGCTTCACGCGTGCCAGTGTAATCGTTAAATGACAATTAATTTGCGTAGGAGGTTATATAAATTTTTAAATATAATTATTACTCAGAATCTTTCCTAATTACGCTATCAAGAATTGTAATAAAAAGTAATATGAAAATAATCTAAATAAATATTTTTTTTGTAATATACACGAGCGAGTGCTGCAGTCGCTAATACTTACAAGAATATAATTATAAAAAAAACTAAAACCTAACTCTCTAAATCACGTCCTAGAAACTACGAAGCAAGATAACATTCGTGTCCACCAACTATTATTATTTACATGTAATCTAACAACTAGACATTTTATATATTTCGCATCTGTCACATAGCATCTTGCCTTAGGGCATGAAAGACATGAAGGCTCTATATAACCTATCCATATCTTACATATTGCGTTCACCTAAATAATACCCTAAAAAGTATCGTAGGCAAACCTTAGGGAAGAACTAAAATGTAAAACTTTCTTAGATTTACGCGAATGTTTGACATTATTAAATAAAACTATCTTTCAATTAACAAATTGTGGGTAAGCTGTCTGTAACAACTATACATTCAAGACATGTAACACCTCAGTCTCTCCCGTGACCATGGATGCTGTAAAGCATTCGAAACGTCGCGAACCAAAAATCAAAATAAATCCGCGAAATAATCCGAAAAGATAGTTTTATTTAATAAAATGTAAAATTTAAAAAGCAGCCGTGCAAAATCAGGGTTAAAGAATAGTATGTTATAAAACGTTCATTTATTGATAACAAGCATCGCCTGATCTGTAGTGAAATGAAAACACAATGCTTAAAGGGAATAAACATTTGCTAAGTACACAACAATTACTGAGCGTGATCGAACTCGAGACCTGCAAAGGCGAATAAATCTAGGCACTGACTTATGTTTGCTTCTTCGAGTGCGAGCGCTTGTTTAGTAGGAACAAACTGTTTATAGCAACCGGATTTACGCTGGCAATTATAGAACTATAGGATCGAATGTGTACTTCCTTGTAGACTATCAATTGATAAGTTACTTTGTTATATATCATAGTATATATATATATATATATATATATATATACATAGTATATATATATACATAGTATACGTAAGTAATGATAGTCATATGCACCTTGTTAGGTATGAGTTTGTGTTCACTTAGAACCAACAGCGAATTTTACGTCTTTTTTCGGTAATTACTTTAATTATTATCAATGTAAATTATAAGCATTTATTGTTATTTCAACTTGAAATGAAATAATACGTAATTATTTTGTATAGTTAAATATCTCTATGTATTAGAAAAGTTCTGAATATAAACGTCTTTTTTCCAAACTAATTTAAAGAATAAAGTTTGTACATCTATACTAATATTGTAAAGAGGTAGTTTGTGACGTTGTAGGGGGTAATCTCTGGATTTACTGAAACGATTTAGATGAAATTTGGTAAGAATATAGTTTGAGACCCTGGGAAGGACATAGAATATTTTTATCCCGGCAACCATCCCTTAAAGAGGTGAAAATGAGGATGAAACTTTGTATTGGGAAGCAAGCTAGAGACGAACCCGAACGAAGCGAGGGTGACTCACTAGTATAATATAAAATGACTATTCGTAACTAAAGAAAATATCCATTGTTCCTCCCGTTTTCGTACCGAAGCTATCGTATAGAAACCAAAAAATAGAATAACTTTTATACTATAAAGTCTTTAATAATTATCCAAGCCAAAATGCCGGAAGCCCTGCGTGGAAATTTAAAGAGCAAAAGGCACTTTCCAAAATACGCCAGCCTTTGCTTCATAAGTGGCGGGGGCTAAATGTAGCGATAATTCTTTGCAGTGGACCGCCAGACGCAAATATGTATGATAATGTACTTTATACTGGTTATTTTAAGTGTCTCATTTAAATATTTCTAAAGAAGTAGAACACTAACAGAGAAACCTATCTGTTGTGGTTTTTTGTTAAAATAATATACACACAAAGTTATTAAAGTCATTATAGAAAGCCTGTTAGTTTTAAGAATGGATGTAACTTAAAGTAGTATCAAATAGTATAAAATTATCTAATTCTTTGCTGTAAAAAAATAAAATGTAAGACTGGTGAAAAAACGAAAACGAACTAGAATTATACACTTTTGAATTTATAATACTCGTGTTTGTATCAATATTTAACTTCTATCAAACGAATGTGTGTTTCTCATGGAATCAATTTGAAGCTTACCTGATGTTAGACAAATATGAGGCTGAAAATAGTTAAAATAGATTTTGTATGTAGCTATCACATTGTGTATTCCGCTTTATTTCATTTGGCACGATAATGTATTGTGGTTGAAGAGACAGATAGTGGATAAACTCTATTGTCTGGTGTACTGCCTTACCATACAAATAAAACTAGGGCAATACCTACATAATAAAAACGAATATAAGATGGAATTACAAGAGTCTAGTCTAGACTAAGTAATAGATTTAGACTGTACGGAAATCCTAAAATTTACTTATTCCTGAAACTTCCTAAATAAGCTAGATGGCTTTTCTTATATAAATATATTTTCATTTTAACTATTTATTTTCTTAGACTATATTGAACTCGTTGGTACAATATTTTTAAAATACAATTACTTTACGATGAAAAGTTACACTAAAAATAAATATTCCTTAAAAGTTTGCTTTGAACATCCCACGTTATTAATAATCATTAACTAATGTTAGTAATTAATTTCAAATATAACGTCAACATTTGAGACCAATATTAAACTGAAAATCATCATAAATATTTTATTTATTTCTTCGGAGTAGATTACGTTTTTATAAGAGACTCGATTAAATATGTATTTACTTATCGGATTACTATTATTGTAGAGTAGACTAGAGGGGAATAAATTAATTTGGTAATAATCACGGGTGATGTGGCGATGATAAAATAAAAATCAACCGGTCAGTAAGGGGATTTAATAGCAATTGACAATGATTATGCAAAAAGAGATACATATGGCGAAGCGCCTGATTAATTTTAACCGCAATAATTTTGTTATACGAAAATTGCTTATAACTAACTTAAACTAAATTACGGAAGCTTAAACAATTATAAATAAATATTAAATTTATGTAGGTATGTATGTCTGTTACTCTTTAAAGCTAAAACGGCTGAAATTTAGTGTACAAATAGGCTATGATCAGGAGTAACAAATATGCTACTATTAAGCGCAATGGGACGCAAATCGAGAGTAAAGCGCTAGTGTATTATATAGTATAGTAAAGATAGCATATAAGGTGTCTATAATTTCAGCTTGGATGCGGGTTTCCGTTTGATTGCACTGTGGCGATCTTTAGGCAATAAAACTTTACCGTATTAGTATTGCGCTTTGAACTGTTATGGGAATCGCAAAGTGCAGATCACGGTTTTCATATACCACCTATTGTCGTTATTTCGTTGGGCTCTAATACTAAAATCTTAGTTATTTATATATAACTCTTTACTAAAGAAATTATAACAAGATATTACTATCATTTGTCACTTTTGGCTAGTAAATTATAGGTAATTCATTATTTATACATTTAAATAAGTTAAATGTGCAAACATCATCCATGTCGTTTATCCTTCGATAGCATAGGATAAATGCGTGGTAAGATACGCCACAAGGGCATCCGACGTTATATTTTATTTCAAACTAGGTTTTTTTCGCACTTGCATGTCACCCGTCACTTTTATCCACCAGAGGACTTTCTCATTAAAAGCCATGAAGCCATACTTCTTTGAAGATAATTTCTACCTTGTGGTACCCCTTTTCTGTAATAGGTTATGTCCCTCTCATTCGAATTTCCTATCTGCCAATGATAGTCTCGGTAAAACCGCTAAGCGTTCCGGAGATTAGTAGCAGCAAATAAACAAAAACGATGTTATGATATCGTGTTTGCTACTTGAATGGGGTAACGTTTTCCAAATTCTATTTTATTTGTAAGTATATGATTTAATATATACGTATACCTACCTAATAAAATTCTAACTAAATCAAATCTGTACATTAACACCTAGCAGGTAAATTTCTAAGAAATTAATTAAAATTCTAAGAAATCTATAGTTAACTGACACGCCCGCGCCGGCTTGTCCGCGGTCGTCGAGGGATTAATTATTTTTTGAAAAATCTTATTGAAATAATCATTATTATTGATACAGAGGCCGAATCTATAGTTTTTAGAATTTTTGTCTGTTTGTTTGTTGTTAATGTACAGATTCGACTTTACAATATTATTTTATGTATAGATAACTCATTTTGGCATCGTTAATAATATTTTTAATTAAAATAATAATTAGTAAGTTTCTAGTTATGAGAATGTTTTAATTTGTACTTCTGCTCAAGAGCGCCTCAAAGTTTACATTTACTTGGAAGCACCTTTGAACAATTAATTTCAGTATTCAGTATCTCAGGTTAGGCCTTTGTTCACAAGCTTAAAGCAAGGTCTGTCTAGCCTACATCTATTTTTATTTATTTCAACTATTGCCAGTGACTTGGCACGTGTATTTTTGTTTTCTCTACCATTATATATATATATATATATATATATATATATATGTATGTACAAGACTCTTTGTATAGAACTGCGTGAAACAGCGTAGCAGCTAGATAGCAGCTGAAGCTATAAATGCTAGAAAGCTAGAAACGTGGCTACTTTTGCTTTCAATTTATACTGTTTGTATAAGAAAATAGATTAAAATTATAGATTTACTTTTGCGGTGTGAAATAATACAAGGTAGAAAAAACCTAAGTAACTAACAAACTTTAAGTTTGTCAATATATATATATATATATATAATATATATATATATATATATATATATATATTATATACATAACATCTCAGCATAAAATAAGACTTAGGTACATCAATTTAAAAAGAAAACATGCCGTCCATTTAATTAAATCGCTTACGCTTGGCCTAGGTTGGTGTGTTAGAAGCTTTAGCCACATCTGCCAGACCGGGAAAAGCCGGAAGTAGATTATAGTGTAGCGCTGTGTCATGGTCTGATAGTTTCTGGCTCACATTAAAACTATATTTGCTTTGTTCATATCGCATAATTGTTGTTTGGCGGCTAGCTTTAATTGTAGACGTTTTCCGACCATGTTATTCGCATGTAACTTATTGTTTAGCCATAACATGTTTCGTGCTTTATATTATGTAATGTATTTTTTTTAAGACAAACGTCCACATAACAATGCTTTTATCAATCAGATCGATCAGATCAATAGTTTAGGAACGCATAGAGGATAAACATATGAATATTCATCTATACATATAATAAAATTCTAACTGAGCCGAATCTGTACATTAAATATTTTTTTGGAAAATCTTATTGAAATAGACATTATTATCGATACAGAGGCCGAATCTATAGTTTTTAGAATTTTTGTCTGTCTGTCTGTTACCGCGTCATAGAAAAAACACTAAAGGGATTTTGATGAAATTTGGTATGGTGATAGCTAGTTATCCGGGTCAACATATAGGATACTTTTTACCGCGGGAATATGTCTCATTTCTGAGAAAAAATACAAAAATTGCAATGTAAGAGTATATTAATATGTAAAACCTAAGAATTTGGTTATTGGTCATCTGAACGCGGGTGGAGCCGCGAGCAATGCTAGTTTTTATTTATATAATAATAATGATAGAAGATAGAAAGAATATATGTACAAAAAACAATAAGCTAGCTTTTTGTCTATGGCTTCGGTCGTTCTCAAACGCTTTATCCACAATTGAAAGTCCCGTTAAAACCAAATAAGCCCTTCCAGAGATTAGCGGAAAACACAAAAAGACAAAATATTTTTGTGGTCGTTTGTGTCTTTAGTTGCGTATAAATATGAGCTCAATATGAGGTTGGAATTTTAAATACATTTAACTTTTTAGTGAGAAAAATATTAAATCTATTTTTACATAAATACCAGTTTTGTCTATTAAAAATAGAGTAATCGTATATGTTTGATTTTATTTAAAATCGCATGAAAACGGACACGGGTGGTTGGTCTGACAATAAATTCTGTACAATTTCTATCTTGATGGAGTCAGAGTGTCGCCGGGGAGTATCGCAGACACATTTTATTGGTCTTTCTGCTGTATTTCATGTTTCGCTTTTCAAAACCAAATTGACATTGCTTGACATTCAGTGCTTCGTACCTAGTATGTTAATACATTATCGAAGATTGAATTCATGAATTCAATTTATCTATGATGTGTAATTTAAATTTATAAAATTAGTTTGCGCATTTTTGTTATACTTGTATGCAAATCCATTTATATAATTTGTTTTATAGGATAAAATGAAAAAAAAAAACATTGTGTACACTTTTATGGTATACTAGCGACTCTCCCTCGCTTCGCTCGAGTTTGCCCTTAGCTCGATTCCCCATACAAACTTTCATCCCCATTTTCACCCTCTTAAGGGATGATTTTCGGGATAAAAATTATCATATGTCCTTCCCAGGGTCTTAAACTATCTTCTTAACAAATTTCATCTGAATCGGTTCAGTAGATCCAGAGTTAATCCCCTACAACGTCACAAACTCACAAACTTTACCTCTTTATAACAATATTAGTATTAGTATAGATAGTTTTGATGATAAATCGGACTACTATTGTGTTGCGAAGGTTTGGTTGTTATGTGTATATTTGTTACTCTTTCATGCTGACACAGCTAGATATATTTGGATGAAAAGTACACATATAGAAATAAATAAACAATTTTTAGTTACCTAGATAGGGTATATACACCCGAGTGAAGCTAGAATAAGTCGCTAGTAAATAATATAATAATATTAATATATATAATAAAAGTAAATAATATAATAAAATAACACAACGATGCACCTATTTGTTTTCACATTCAGCTTATTTATTGTAAAAATAACATTTTTATGGCTGTTCTCATTGCCACACTTTCCGTCCACAGCCAGCCCAATATAACATCCGTCTTAAACAAGAATAGAAGCTTTGACCTACAATATATAGACGTGCTGCTGATATGGATAACTGTGTTATCATAGTATAAAAGTTTCGTTATCTGCTCCGGTTTTACTCATGTTTGAAGTTTCAATTAAATATGATTATATTCCAATTTCCATATATGCACACTATCTCACCTTCATTAACCTCCATGTTAACAATTCGATTTTCAAAATCTCCTTTTTTAATAGTAAATATGCATTAGACAAATATCTGATCAAATTTAGTTTTTTTAAACAATTTTTGTGATTTTGTGTCTATTACTCAGAAAGTGAGCGGTTATCGCTTTTTTATAATTATATAGATGATATACATACATACGTGTTTTTTAATCATAAGGATCTATAAATTTACCTCGAAGTAAACAAAGAAGCTTCTGTAAGGGACTATAACCTATATCTTTGGGCTGATTAATGTCAACGCTGTCGTCCGAACATGAGCGCCGAATGGGTTAGGACGCCATCTTGATTTATTGCCAGTACAGTGGTAAAACCTGCACGACAATATTGTAATAGATGTAGTTTTTAGGATCTTGTAAGATTTGTTTTCACATGTTAAATCCAATTTATTATTTTTGGTACCTCTTCTTTTTTAAATCACTGTTTGAGTTAAAAGTGCTAACGTAAAAAGCTTTGGATTATCTGGAGTAACAAAATCAAAGTGTGTTATGTTTTGGTTTATGGAATTCTTTTTAAAGCTTTTTTAAGATTAGGTATCTGATAAAGTAATAATTTTATCAATGAATCATATATGTATAATAATAATAATAATCATAAATTGATTTGATAATATCATAGTCTTCATGATGCGCTCAAAAGCATAAAACGAGACTTGTATAGCTATCACTCACCTATAATAACAACAAAATATCTTAATAATATATAATTATATATAAATAATTAGAAATTATTAACTCTCCACTACCATATGGACCTCTCATCAATATGAAGAGAATGATGCCACAGTCCAAATGTGTTTCATTCTGTTTCTAAAACAAGCGTGCTCCTAACTCGCTACCAGTGCAAAGTACCTCAATAAAAACAAAAAAAATGAATAACGAATGGATATATATGTCATGAAGTTCAACATTTAAAATGTGTAAAGATAAAAAAAGAAATATACGAATATATTGAAATGAAAATAAATACTTTACTCTTTGATCAAATCATTCTAACAGCGATACGTTCTGAAATTTTATAGATCTTGCTTTATTACGACATTTTATTATATTTGTAACATATATGATTGTCAGAGCTGAAGTAACCCGAGCGCGTAATGGGCCGCAGACTCCATCTTGATTTATTACCGGTTCAATGGAGAATTTGTTTGACGTTGCTGTAATAGGTAAGTTTTACTTTGAGACTTTCATTATGATTCAAAGTATTCTCTATGAGTTTGATCATTATTTACGGTTATTCTATATTAAGACAGCTGTCTTCTGATTTACGACTTTCAACATTTTCATAATTTAATAATGAAAACGAAAAATTTGTTTTGTTATAACATTAATGATCTATAAACATTACTAGCTATAACTTCCTTTATACATATACTTACTTTAATTAAACTTCTAGGAATAATGGTATTTCCAAAATTAATTAATTTACATTCTAAGTACGTTTGAAGATAGGTATGAATTGAAACGTGAGCTAAAAGATATATAACGCAAAACTATTAAAGGGCATATCGTTCAAACAAGCTATTCGTTTTTTTGAGAAACTAATAACAAGAACTTATATAATAGTGCAAAAGCGTGGAAAATGTTCAGGGATCGTCAATAGTTTCAGATCTTGATTAGTAAGACATAACACAGATCAAAGTACGAGAAGGAAAACTATGCCAAAATCAAAGCGTTTGAATCCACGTCCCTTCGTCTAAATTTATTAAAAGTGATACAAATAAGATGATATTCTTGTATAAAAAAATCATAATAAAACAAGATTTTTTTTAAGTTCCACATCTTATATCCATATAGTTTTTTATGGTAAAAATATTCAAGTTATAGAAATTTTAATGATGAATAAACCGTGTTCTCAACTAACATTCTTACTCAGAGCATTTTTCCGAATAAATAATTCATTTATCGCAAAGGATTACGCTAGCAAACATTTATAGTGTAGAGTGTAGGTATTCACCTCATTTCGGGCGAGTGATCCTTTTAAAAATGTACGTGAACAGATTCGCATTCTTACAGTAGTGAACCAAATTTATCGGCTTCGGTGAAGGAAAGCAATTTCAAGAAGCCGATAGGTGAACAGGAATTTATAAAGAAAGTGCAAAGCCTGGATTTTGGGTAAGTAAACAATATTAAATATATTTTGCAAATAAATGGCACCTCTGAATATTTCTTTTGCATCGTATTAGTATAAAATTCTTAGTATATAGTCTACTAAAAAGAGTGGAGAGAAAGTGAGTTAAATAAGACTTTTTGGAGTTCGGTTACGTTTATCGTATGTGTGCAATTAGGTTTATACCTATGAACCCGGCTATAATGAATGGATTTGGCTGATTTTGGATTTTTTTAGTAAGCTATTTCTACTTTTATATTTTCATACTTCAAAGTCATGTCTTGTCATGTCTTCATTGTTGTGTTATAATAAATTGTTATAATTGTTAATTGTTATAATATATATATTGAAATGTCTTTGTTTATACCGTTCACCGTTTGTCTTGGTTTCATTAAAATGAGATATCCGATATGAAAAGGGTACAACGAAGGATGGGATGTTTCTTTAATGTATTTTTATAGTAATATACTAAATAGTATTGTTTTGAATACTTGCGTAAGAAGTTTTATTAAAAATAAATTTTATGTTATGCAATACTTTCTTAGAATTATATATGACATTAATCTATCTTTTGGGATTTTTTTTGCGGTTTTATTTAGTTTTTTGGTACCCACCGTTTCGAATGCTTTACAGCAGTTATGGTCACGGGAGAATATCCGCGAAAAAATTCCGAAAGTATAGTTATA